GGGTTTTGAAGCAGAGTCTTGCTAAGTTGCCCAGGCTGGGTTTGAACTTGAGATCCTCCTACCTCAGCCTCCCAGAATGCTATGCTTAAGGAGCAGGCCACCAGGCCCAGCTGGTATATTGTATTTTCTTTTTTTATCGCTACCCAGGATCAAACTCATGACTGTGTGCTTACAAGGCAGGTGCTTATGCTGCTGAGCTAAATCCCCAGCCCTGGATATTGTATTTTCTGTTAGATTCTGATCATCACAAGTAGCACGAGAAGAGTGTTAAAGCAGAGGGATGGCATTCAGGGAAAAAACAGAAATTCCTCTGTGAACTACAGCTTGTCTTGGGGAATGTGCCATTGTTTTATTATATAAATTATTCTTTGGAAATGTTTATAATGAACATAAATAAGAGAAAATCAAGTTTATAAATAAACCTGTAAGTTTATCTTCCATTCAACATAGCAGAATATGCCTTCCGGAGGAAGCTTTCTCTTCCAAAGCTTACTTGGAAGGGAAGAATAATGCTTAGTGCTAGCCAGGCATGGTGGTGCACGCCTGTCATCCCAGCACTGTGGGAAGCTGAGGCAGGAAGATTACAAGTTTAAGCTTAGCCTGAATAATTTAGTGACTGAGACTCTATCTCAAAATAAAAAATGATGAAAGGATTATGATGTACCCCAAAGTAATGGCCCTAGTTTAACTACCCACTACCAAAAATGCATAAAAGTTCATACAAACAACGCTTGGGTGAGGATTTTGGTGAGAAAATTTTCCCAGGGGTTGTGAGTCAGATACTGAAGAAACAGGAGGATTAGAGACCTGGCCCACGCTGTGAGTGGCCTGGGGAGGTGAGACGCAGATGTGTTTATGGGTTTCACCTCCCGGGGAGACATTAAATTCTGGGCAAGCCCTGCCAGTGGCTGGAGCAGGCCATGGAGATGTGGTGTGAGGGCAGGACTTGATGCTGACTCAGGCTTTGCCATCCAGCCCAGGGCTTCAGAACAGTGAGAAAGAGTTCTAATTTTTGTTCCAAAGAAAGGAAGGAAAACTGAATCTGCGCTCTAAATTTATAGCCCATTGTCCTCCAAAAAGACATTTTATTTTATTATAGTACTGGGACCTTTCACAGGGAAAGGTCCATCCCTACCCTTTGATATAGGGTCTCACTAAGTTGCTAAATTGCCTAGGCTGGGTTTGAACTTGCAGTTCTCCTGCCTCAGCCTCCCAGCATGCCAAAAAGGAAGGCAGAGTATCATAAACCACAAATATAACAACAGAAATAAAGTGATCAAGTATTAGTGAAGGAAGATTTTAAAAACCTATAAATTAGAACCCTTAGATGAGAAAACCTCCTGCAAATATGCTGAAGGCCAGCTCTGAACTTCCCGCGGGAGGAGACAAAGAGGGAATCAGCACTTAGCACTCTTAATAAACCAAGTCTTCTAGCACCATTCATGGGGGGCAAGGTACCCCTGAGTGTTACTTGTTTGCTTGTTTTTCAGACAGGGCCTTGCTGTGTGGCTCAGGCTGGTTACACAGCCTGCTGCTTCCTCCTGCTTCAGCCTCCTGAGTGCTAGGATGACATGTGTACCGCCACACCAGGTTTGAGGAGTCAGTTTTGGGGATGCCCTCTGGACAGCATCTTGCCAAAGGCAGCTGCTCTCTCCCGCTTCTGTTCCTAGGCCTGGCCACCATCTGCTCAGCCCAGCAGCTCAAAACCCTTGGCGTGGCTCCAGGTTCTGCACCCGGTGGTGCTGTTCCCTTACCTGCTGGGAACTCTGGGTGTCCTTGGGCCCCGAGCTCTGTGCTGCTGGGAATGGCCAGGAATGGCCTGCTCTGTGGGGATGGTCGTGCAGGGACTGCGGCCTCACACCCTGGAAACTGCCAGAGGTGAGGCGTGTGTGGCTCCCCTGGAATCCTAGCCCTTGGGAGGCTGGGCAGGGGGGTCACCCCATGTTCAAGGCCAGCCCGGGCTGCACAGGGAAACCCTGTCTTAATTGATAATAATCAATTTGTTGTCTAAAAAGACCAGAAACAGTTGTTGCTCCAGAAGGATAAACTCAGACTTGAAGTGATAGTTTGGACAAATAGGAAGAGATTCAAAAGAACAGTTAGCACCCTTCATTGGGGGATTTACTGTCTCCAAGATGCTGTTACTCATCAGTAGATTAAAGAGACCCCCATTCTTATAAAGCTTTAGGAGGAACTGAAAGTATTTGTAAAGGTACCTTTTTTTTTTTGTTTTGTTTTGTTTCTTCTTTCTTGTTTGGTTAGTTTTTCTGAGACAGGTTTTCACTATTTTTATCTAATATGAGGAAGATGTTCAGATGGAGAGGGGAACAAGGGAGGGGGAGGGAAGGAAGGATAGGAAAGAAAAATAAGAATAGAAGGAAAAATGGAACTAATGCTTTGCAAATAGAGGGCAAGAGGGGTCGAAGAGAGGGGAGGGATTGGGGGAAAAAAGAAGAATCCAGATATTGCATGTAAGGGTACACGACGAATGTGACCATATGCATACCTAAAACATACCAATACAATTAATTAAAAATAAAATACATTGTGCAATTAACAACCACACAAATTTAGAAAGACACTGTCATCAGTTAAATCTGCGACCACTTATTGAGTCCCCACTACTTGGCAGATATTTTCATGCATTTTCTGCACAATAAATCTGCAAAGCAGCCCTGTCCCGTCTTAGGGATGAAAATGGAGATTCCAGAGATCAAAGCCTCCACCAGCAAACTGTGAGACTGCAGTTCAGAGCAACACAACCCCTTCTTTCTGTGTGGATGCCTTTGGTTTGTGGTAGGTTCAAAGTAAAATCTAATGTTCAGCTGTACTGACCTGTCGCCAGCTCCTGGGGATTTAAGGTATAGGGCTTCCCGATAAGATAGAAGCATTTCTACTTATTTCTGTGTGTGTATGTGTGTAGGGGTGTGTGTGTAGGTATGTGTGTATAGGTGTGTGCAGGTGTGTGTATGTAGGGGTGTGTGTAGAGTGTGTGTATGTGTGTATGTGTGTGTCACTGAACCCAAAAGCTTTCGCACCTAGGTGCACCCCAGCCCTTTTTTATTCTTTACATGCAGACAGGGTCTTGTGAAATCACCAGGTTTTTCAGGCTGAGGCTGAACTTGAACTACATCGCTTGTCTCCAAAGACCGGCTAAACACAGCGCAGGAGCCCTCCCGGCCCCGCCTCCCCTCCCCAGCACCTCCCGGGCCCAGACCCCAGCTGCGGGCGCCCGCCGCCTCGGTGCAGCTCCTTGGCAGGGAAGATCCCGGCTTGTTGACTGTGCCAGGTGGTCATCTCATCACACAGCTGGAGCGAGCGCGGGAGTCCAGCGCCTCTGCTCAGGGGTGCGTCTTCCAGAGACCCCCAACTTCTCGCGGTGGCTCTGGGGTCTCTGCCGTGGGGTCCTCAGCCCACTGAGGGTGAAGGAGGTGGGGCCCATGTACTCTGGGGACCCGGCTGGGTCTCCGCGTGCGTGAGCGCCTCCTGCAAACACGGGAAAGCCAACAGCCAGGCCATGGAACCACAGCTTAAATAAATAACAGGGTAATTGTAACCCGTGGTTTTAGGGCACGTTACAATACTCTTGCATATTCTGAGAGTTCAAACCATGAAAGCAAAATAACTTTAAAACTGTGGTAGAAAGTTGGCGTCTGGATGAGTCTGCGCGCCAGAAAGCAGTAAAATGGATCCGTGTGTAAAAATTTTCTTTGTTGAATTACACATCCTTGTTCTTCCTGCCAAATCGAGCGTTTGCCAAGTGTTATTGATTCCCTAGGACAGTCACTTTGAACTCCAGCCTCCCAGGATTTCCTGTCCATGGAGTACCGGGCTTTCTAAGAACAAGTCCCATCTGGGTAGCCAGGATTTGGACCGGGCTTGAGACAGAAAAGACCCAGAAAGATGATGCGTTTTTGCTGCAATAGGGAACTCTGTCTGAGAGAACTGAAAAGCTTGTGGAATCTTCTGCAGGAGTCTGGTTGATTGTTTTTTTTTTTGTTTGTTTGTTTTGTTTTGTTTTTTGTTTTGGTACCGGGGATTGAACTCATGACCTCACACTTGCCAGGCAGGCGCTTATGCCACTGAGCTAAATCCTCAGCGCCCCCCCCCCTTTTTGGAGGGGGTACCAGGGGTTGAATTCATGACCTTGTGCTTGCCAGGCAGGCACTTATGCCACTGAGCTCCATCTCCAGCCCCTGTTTGGTTAGCTTTTTGAGACCGAGTCTCGCTATATAGCTCAGGTTGGCCTTGAACTCACTATGTGGCCCCAGATGGCACTCCTCCTGCTCAGCTTCCCAAGTGTGTGCACCATCACTTGTGGGCATCAGCAAGAGTGGGTTGATGGGAATGACCAGGGTGAGTTTAAAGATACAGAGAAAGTTTTTAATTCATAAGAAATAAGTTTCAAAAGGTGGTGGACAGAGGCCAGATTCTACATAATTTTGAACATAATCCTTAGGAATTTGGATTTATTGGAATTTGGATCATGTGTATCTTACAAGAAACAAGCTTGAGGCTCGGTGTTACTTTAGTTGCAAGTAACAAACTAAAAATCTAGCAGAAAGGAAACATAATTTTGTAGAGATTTGGGGATATTTCTCACTTGGCAGTTACCTTATACTTTGTTGTTACGCCGAATTGAAATTCTTCAATAATCGCCTATGAAGGTGAATGGGGAAAATGAACAGAAGAGTGTTGAGTGTGACATGGACAGAAGGGGAGCTGAGGTCACTCTAATTCAGCCGCTGTTCTTCCCAAAGGCTGTGGGTGGCAGAGAGAGAAAGTGTGCTGTCCTGCTGTGTGTCACACAGCAGCAGCCTCTTGTCAACAAAAACACTCCATAGCGGCTTTCTCCTCTCCTCTCAGCGCTGCCCTGCAGTCAGCAAAGACACCTCCCCCATGTCTCATCCTGCACAAAAGCAGGACCAAACCTGGCAGTTGTACTACTTTATAAACCAGGAGGCATCATGGTGCATGTTTTTAACCCCGGCAGGATGGGAGGCTGAGGCAGGAGGATAGCACCTTGGAGCCAAGATGAAGCAACTGAGTGATGCCGTGAGACTTTGGCTCAAGATAAAAATCACGAAAAAGTGCTGGGATGCAGCTCCGTGTGAAGGCCCTGGCTTCTCACCCCAGTACCACAAACAGATGAATAAGAAAAACCAGGGTGCAAACTAGACACAGTGTGATGGCGGGCACAGGGGTTACTGAGAGTTTTCCCTAACGTGTACATCTTACTCTCGCTTGGTGTTGAGAGCAGGCTCGGGGGGTGAACGCCACTCTGCTGTTAATTTTAGAATCAGCAGCTGTAAAAGCTGGAGTGTTTGGAGAGCTGTGGGGGTGGGCCAGCAAGGCCAGCACCGCTTCATTCCTTAGCAGGGGACACGCTACCAAAAAACGGCAAAGAATGTGGAGGTCAGAGACGGAAGCGGTTTGGAAATGTGAGTGAATGCACTTTCTCATATCTTTTCTTTTTTTTTTTTTAAAAAAAAAACAGTGGAGAGCGTGTGTGGAGAAATTTAACGGAACAGTAAGTGCGATGATTATTATCCCAATTTCACTTACATTGCTCCAGTTCTAGTCCCAGTCTTTTCATGTGTAAATTAAATTTGATGTTGTTGTATCTAAGGTGTTGGGTGCTAGTTTGTGTGCAGTTTGGTTGGTTTTGTTCTCTTGGGTACTGGGGATTGATTCCAGGGTTTTCACACTGAGCTGTATATCCAACCCTTCTTATTTTTGATTTTGAGACAGAGTTTTGTTAAGTTTCCTGGTAGGTAGGTAGATAGGTAGGACTTGAACTTGTGATCCTCCTGCCTCAGTTTCCCAGAGTGCTTAAATTATAGCTGTGGACAACTACATGTCCGCTGCATGATTTCCTCTTTTCATTTTTTATTTTACACAAGCATTCCTTCCCAGGTATTGACATTAGTTATGCCATTGTCATTTTAATACCGCCAAAGGCCTTGTGGCATCACAACCCGCACATATTTGGGAGTTGGAGAGTGAAAGGCAGGGGTTTCTCTGACTACAAACAGTGAAAGTAAAGGAAAGGCAGGCATGATAAAGGAAGAGGAGGAAAGGGTCTTTGATGAAAGATTCTGTCACATTTGTGGTTTTCAGAAACAAAGTCTTCTTAGTGATGTCTAGTTTTTCTTTACCTTGGAGAAAGCTATTAGGTCTAGTAGGCATAAGACCGCTGAGTTCAATCTCCATCTCTACAAAAACAGAAAACAAAGAAACAAAAATCATAAGAAGACAACAGTCCATTGAAGAATGTTGGAAGAGCAGAGCGTGGTGAGTATTATTATGTCCAAATTCACTTGTGTCTCTGAAGGGGTTCAGCAAAACAGGGAGGGTGCTGGAGACTGGAGCCGAGGACCGCTGCTGGGGTGCAGTTACTTGGGGGACAAACAGGCAGAACAGGAAGGCCCCACTCGCTTCTTGCTTTTCCCACCTTCCGGTCCCTGCAGCGCCCCCTATCGACAGAACGCACGATGGAGCAGGCAGGCGGGACAGATGTGTTTGGCAGACAGCAGAGCAGCACCGGGCGTCGTGTGGAAAACTGGGCTCAGACTCTGTGACTGCCTAGAGCTCCCTGAGGAGGGAGCAGGTGGGCCGGCCTTGGCTTGGAACCTATGCCTGAAATAGGATTCTTGCTATTATTGCTGGGTCGGGTTTAACACATGTACTCTTTATCACGTGAAAGAATGAATGTCCCCTCCCTATTGTCTTTGTACTTAAATTTATTTAGCAGGCCTGGGGATTGAACTCATGGCTTTACACATGCCAGAAAGTGCTCCACCCCTGAGCTACATTCCCAGCCCGGTTCACTTTTTATTTTGAAACAAGATCTCACTAAGGTTCCAGGCTGGCCTTGAATTTAGGATCCTCCTTCCTCAGCCTCTTTAATGGAATGACCAGACATGGGCTATTATGACGGCCTAGATATTTACATTTAATCAAAGTGAGGTTGTATGTTGACATCTGGTAAAATAATTGTGCTTTAGGTTAGCATGATGCATTTCAGTTTTTTTGGTTTTGTTTTTTTTTCTTTCGGTTTTTTGAGACAGGAGTTCAGGCTGGCCTTGAGCTCACCGCAACCTTCCTGCCTCCTGAGTGCTGGAATTCCAGGTGTGTGCCACCACGCTGGCTTAGAGGGCACATTCTTATCTAAATGCAAACAGGCAGTGACTGGGCTGAGCTGGGGTTAGAATCTCCATCTGCCATCTAAATTTCTGCTCTGTCTAATGTGCCACCCACCCCAGCTGCCTCAGGCAGCTCCAGGGAATAGCTAATTCCAAGTGACTTTAGCCCTCTGTGCCCACAGAGGCCGCACATGGATTCTAGCAGGGTACACACTTCCCAGGGATGAGCTCTCCGCGTGGCCTCTGCACATGGTGATTCCTTCTGAAAGGAGATGGTGGGGCTGGGGTGGAGGAGTGTGCCTGTCATCCTAGCATTCAGGAGGCTGAGGCAGGAGGATCCCAAGTGCAAGGCCAACCCAGGCCATTTGGTGATTTAGTGAGACCAAAGGCCCTGGCTTCAATTCCCAATACAGCAAAACAAAACCAAAAACTAACAATTGGAAAGTTGCTCCTGGTTCCATCTGAACGTGCATCACTGAGCTCGAGTCCCTGAAAGGCACGGGTGGATGGATTGCCAAGTGGGCCATGCAGCTGTGCGTGCCCCTGCTGCCTTTCAGCGAGTCCTCAGGCAGCTAATTCGCCTTTGAGGTTTCCCCTTAATGCAGCTTAATGAGGTCTTGATTACAATCTGATCAGAGGGAGCCAAGCTGAACAGTGCCTCTCTGTGGATGCAGAAACTTGAACCAGGATTAGTGGTCAGGAGCCCTGGCCATGGGCGCCAGATCACCCGGTGTATGCCTCCCCTGGGGGCGCATAGCAGGCCAAGCTCACCACAGTATTCTAACTTAGGGACCGGAGTATTGGAGCCTTTTGTTTTTATTTTTGTTTTCGTTTTTTGGGGGGCTGAGTGGGTTTTGGGGCCAGGGTCTTGCTCTGTAGTTGAGGCTGGACTTGAATTCGCTGTGTAACCCTGGCTGGCCTTGAACTTGACTTCCTCCTGCCTCAGCCTCCTGAGCACTGGGGTGACAGGCACATACCACACTGTCTGTGTCTCCCAGTGACATGTGTTTCCGGTATGAAAATGCACATGAAATGGCTTTAAATCCCGGCTAATAAGCACCTATAGGATACATAGGCTATTGTGATAGGAAAACTCTTTTTTGGATGGTGTCATGTTTGATACGTAGCGTCAAGGTGAGAATTATAAACATTTAACTAAAAGACTCAGCAGCCACCCAGGAACCATTTTCAGCCTGCCCTGGGGGCGGTGGCCTGGGTGTAAGTAAGGCAGGGAAAGAGGCTTGCTCACCTCCCTTTGGCCCTTTTGCTCTGGTCCCTTTTCATATCTGTTGCCCCTCAGCCTGCCTTGCAGCCAGCTGAGTATGGACTGAGACCTCCACAAACTGTAAGCTAAATAAACCTTTCCTTGCTTCATTTTGGGCTTCAGGTATTTTGTCTCAGCAATGAGAGAAAAGTAACCAAGACAAAGGTATTTTATTTATTGCATGTTTGTTCGACGGGTGAATAGGTTTTAATTCTACTTCCACCACCAGATGATTTAGCACCTAATAATATGAACATTTATCAATATCAAGTATGGCTCAGTCCATGAGCAAAATGCTTGTTTGTAAAAAAAATAACTCTCACATCCTACAGAGTACAAATGATTGTAATCCCCCAATTTATAAATAAATAATCGAAAAGGAGGTCTAGAGAGGTTATGTAGTTTGGCCAGCATTATGGGGCCTTAAAGGCATGAAGTAAAACTGTAACTACCTTTTGTGTCGTTTCATCTCTTGTTGCTTTGGGGGTCTCGCTGTACAGCTCCTGCCGGCTTTGAACTCACAGTGGTGATCCTCCTGTCTCAGCCTCCCGAGTCCTGGGACGATGGCGTGTGCTGTCACGCCCGGCCTTCCTTGGTCTCTCTGGCCCCTCTCTGAAGTGTCTGTGGTTCGTCCTTGCTGCAGGCACCTGTGCTGTGGAGGACCAGCCCTTGTGGCCTGTCCAGCGCCTTCAGCTCTGAGCCAGCGCAGCAGCAAGTTCAGGGGCCACAGAGTAGGAGGCCACGGAGGGAGGTGGCATCTGGGCAACAGGACAGTGTCTTCCAGTCAGCAGGAAAGGGTAGGGGCACCCAGGGAAGCAGGGGCAATGGGCCACTGCCGAGCTTTTCAAGTAAGAACTCTCAATCTGGGAGATCAGCTTTGCTCACAGGCTTGGGATGAAATGAGCCAATGTTTTAAAACAGAGTTTTTACCCAGGTGTGGTGGCGCACGCCTGTCATCCCAGCACTCACTCCGGAGGCTGAGGCAGGAAGGTCACTACAAGTTCAAAGCCAGCCTGGACTAGGTGGTAGTGAGTTTGAGGCTTAGTCTGAGCTACAGAGGGAGACTCAGAAAAAATAAAAACTGTGATTTTTAGCAAAGTATAACTAAAATAGCATAGGAAACAAGGAGATGGCTCTTTTGTGAACAGGAAGCAGACCCAGGCGAGGAGGGAGGAGAAAGGGGCTATATGCAGAATGAGGAGGCCTGAAGTCCAGGCCCCAGCAGTCCTGAGATGAGCGTGAGCACTATGCACCACAGGCTCGTAAAAACAGAGATAAAAGAGATAAAAAAAACCTTCGTTTATATAAAAGTGGATGTGGATCTCCTTAGGATAAGGGTGCACATAGGGCGCACCCAGGCTACAACTAAGACTTCTGGAAAGTGTGATTGCTTTAGGACCTCAGGCTGTTCCAGAAAAAGTATCTGCTGTTTTCAGAAGTCTGAAGAAGCTGGGCATGGGGAAGTGTCGGTGTCGCTCCCGGCCGGCAGGAAGAACACGCAACAATATCTGGCGGTGGTCAGGCTTTTCTTTATTCTCTCCTTATACAGTCTGCCCCGAAGCCTCTACCGGTCCGCTCTCCGCGGCTCCTTCCGTGCTTCTTCTCTACAGTCTGTCCCGAAGCCTCTACCGGTCCGCTCTCCGCGGCTCCTTCCGTGCTTCTTCTCTACAGTCTGTCCCGAAGCCTCTACCGGTCCGCTCTCCGCGGCTCCTTCCGTGCTTCTTCTCTCGTGGCGGGAGAGGCACTCACTTTTATAGGGTTACAGTGGCCAATCAGTTCAAAGCGCGCGATGCGGGCTGATTGGCTAACATCAGTTGTTGCTAGGCAGACTATCTTATAGAGCGGGTTGTTTACCAAGCAGGAAGCAGGAGATAAGCGCCATCTTAGCACACTCGATGGGAGGGGTAATCTAGCTCAGGCTTTGCTCTTTCTTACAGGCCTCACATCCGCCAAGTAAGGCGACCGGGCTCGGCCGCGGCTCCCAACAGGGAAGCATGTGCTTTTGGGAAGCTGAGGCAGGAAATTTACATATTGAAGCTGTTTGGGTAGCTTGGCAAGATCTTGCTTCTCAATTCACAAACTTTAAAAGGGCTGGGGATATAGTTCAGACCCTGGGGTCAACCCCTGGTATGAGGAGGAAGAAGAGGAGAAACAGGAGTGGGGAGAGGGGAGGCTGAGGGGAAAGGAGGAGGAAGGGGATGAGGAGGAGGAGGACCATTTAGAGAAGTCTGAGTGACAAGGTTTGACTGGTGTTCTCAAGTGACAGTGGCTGTGCCCTGTGGGTGGCTGTGCCCAGGACCCTCCTGGAGGACAGCTGGGATGGCAGGGGTTGTGCTGCCTCTGCGGGGTGTAGGCTTCTGTCCTTGCTCTTTTCCCTGTGGTGTGGGCTCCTGTGGCCCTGCCCCTTGGGCTGGGTGGCCCTGCTGCTTGCAATTCCAGGCAGGGAGGTGGCAGGCAGAGTCCTCAGCTGACCCTCCTGGCTGCTGGGCTGGCAGGGTCTCCCGCTTCGAGGTGGGCTCTGTGGTCCCCACCCCAGGGACACCAGTAATCCCAGTGGCTGGGAGGTTGAGACAAGAGGATCACATGTTGGATCCCAGCCTGGACAAATTGACAGTTTAGCAAGATCCTGTTCCAAGATAAAGAAGGGCTAGGGACAGAGATTAGTGCGAAGGCTTGGAGGTAAAAGGTCCTCAAGATAAAAGGCCACAATCCGGGAGATATACAAATCAGCAGTGACCGTGGGAACTGCAGTCAGAGGTAAAGCCAGCGTCTTCAAGCAAGATGAGGTGACATAAAATCAGGGCTAGCCAAGCCTGTCTGGCCGGCCTCCTGTTCCCTGGACGGACTGCAGAGCAGAGCAGGGAGCTGGCAGAATGATTTTAACCAAGGCCACACAGTGAAGGTCAGCTCGTCCTGCTTTGAGTCCCCTCTGCAGGCCCAGGGGAAGAAATCAGGACATCAGCCAGCACTGCCTTTAAATCCTGCTGCCTCCCTAGGAAACCCAAATTTTGTTTTCATTGACTGATACATTAAGGGCCCAGGAGTGGGCTACTCTTTTGTGCCCGATCCTTTCCTATTTATTTTTTTATGTTTTTGGAGTCAGTCTGGCTATGTAACTCAGGGCAGCCTCTGGAGCTTGCCGTGATTTTCCTGTCTCAGCCTGCAGAGTGCTGGGATTACAGGCATACCACACCTGGCTCCGTGTATGTGTGTGTGTGTGCGTGTGACTGAGGGTTACATCCAGGGCCTTTGTGCTAAGCTCCATCTTATTTGTTTGTTTTTTTAATTTTTATTTGAGACAGGGTTCCACTAACTTGTCCAGGCAGGGGTGCAACTGTGATCCTCCTGCCTCAGCCTCCCAGAGTGCTGGGATTACTGGTGTCCATGCGGTGGGGACCACAGAGCCCACTTCGCAGTCGTCCCCAGGTCAGCTCTGCAGGTTCCTCCTCAGTGGCTCCTTGTGAAGGTAGAGAGAGACTGTGGTTCTTCTGGTGTGGGAAGCAGCCACTGATGTCACAGTGAACGGCTCCCTCTGCTGTCACCAGGGTGGCAGCATCAGTAGCCACTGTGCGTTTTTCATGGGCAGCTCTGGCACCTGCCAGGATTCTGAATGCCAGTGGGGAACAGGCTCTCCCTAGGTGGTGCTGGGAGGCTGGGACGTTAAGCCAGGACTCCATCTTCCTCGGGAAGGAGGTGCCACCCAGGTATGCGATCTGGTAAATCCAAGCTGGGTCTGGTGCACACACCTGTCCTCCTAGTACAAGGAGGCTGAGGCAGGAGGATCTGCCTGCATTTGAGGCCAGCCTGGGCCATGTAGTGAGTTCAAGGCCTGTCCGAATTGCATAGTGAGACCCTGACTCAAAACCACACCACACCAAAACCAAAATCAAACCAAAATAAAACCTCCATATCCAGCAAGTTCCCCAAAGGCTTTCAGCAGCAGCTTTGGTTTGGTGCTGGCTCTGCCCCAGCTACCCCCAGAGAAACCCATTTTCTGTCTTTCTCATTCTTTTCCTTCCAAAATGGCAACACTGCCCATCTCCCCAGCCACTGAGGGTGAGGATCAGATGAGATAATGGATGCAAAAGCCCTGAGCTGAGGAAACAGAAGAAGCCAGCCAGCCCAAGCTGGATAATCCAGGAAGGATTAGCTGACCTCCTCCCGCCAGGCCCAGTTGTGCACAGGGTGGGGAGGAACCTCCAGAAAGGGGAAGGGGAGGGAGTCTCGATGGCTGGAACAATGACACTTTGGGATGAGGAGCAGAACTTGGGCCCCTTGCCTGGATACCGGCCAGTTCAGCCTGGACCCGTTTCTTGTGGCCTGAGATTTTCAAGATGCAGCATGAAGACCCACAGGTATCACCTCGTTTACTCCCACGGAGGATGTGTCTGGTTTACACAGTCACACAGTTCAGGTCACAGAGACAGAGGCCACACCCTTCCGGCCTGAGTGTGCACTTCCTTTGGCTGTGGCCCGGATGATTTCCGCCCTCTGGGTGGCCATAGGAGCCCAGCCTTGGACCTCCCACCAACCCTGTCATACCTGGCCTCTTCCCTGTCCTTGCTGCCCACTGTTCTGCACTGGCCTTGTCAGAGAAGGGACACCCTGGTGACGACTCTCCTGCCACTAACCTGCGAGCCAATTCGGACAGACACCGCTCAGCTGAGAGCCTCAGGGAAGCCATAAGACAGGACACTGGGAAGATGCGGGGAGTCCATGGACGGACATGTCCTCTGCAGAGAGACAGCTGGTGACAGTGACAGGCACTGTCCTGCAGAGGAGGCACAGATCCGGCAGCATGGTCTGTGGGGTTCCTGTTGGGGCTTCCCAGGTGGGAAGGTGTGGAAGTCAAGGTCAGGACCGAGTTGGGTGAGGTCCCCAAGGACGCCATGGGCTCAGGACTAAAGCTACCCTGCCGAGCCCTCCTGTTCCCCACCAGCTGCACGCGTACCAGGGCCTGGTTCTGCGTCCTCATCCCAGCCCCGGGGAGATGCCCGACAGAATCCTGTGGCCACCCGAGAGCCAGGGCCTGCATCTGCATCACTTGGGGACCCGAAGCATTGGCACAGCTCAGCTCGCCCCCCGGAGACCCTGAACCTGCCCAGCCATGCTGCCACCTCAGCCCTGCCCAGGTCGGCTGGGAAGGCTCCCCAGCCCCTGCAGCCCACTGGCCGCCACTCTCGTGTGTCCAGGAGTCCTGCTCCCGTCGGACAGCGGCCGATGCTTTCATCTTTTCACGACTTTCAAAGGTGTCACTCTAAAGTGTGGGAGCTCGGTCAGAGGACACTGTCGTGCCTGCGGCCCTTTGTAAATTATAAAGGGCAGCAAATGTGAACACACCACACAGCAGGATTCCCCGCAGCTCAACACCTCTGCACTCATTCTCCTCTGATCCCTGCACACCGGGCCGTTCCCTCCCCCCTCCTCCCTTCCCGCTGCTTTCCCACAGCTACTCATAGGAGACAAACCTGGCCCACCTGTCCTGCAGCTGGCTCTCCTCACTGCCACTCTGGCTGGCCTTGACCTTGGAGTCCTCCTGCCTAGGCATCTGGAAGCCCGTGTGCTGTCCTGGGTGTGACATCCTCTCTGCAGATGGGGAAGAGAGTCTCTAAGAGTCACCGTTCAGTCCAGTGAGGAACAGGCTGAGGCAGAAGGGCCGCCGTCAGGCTGCTGAGTCTGACTGTGATCTCTCGCGTGTCTGGGAAAGTCACCGTTGGGGCTGCCTGTCCCCACAGACATAAAACTCTGCTGCAAACCCAGGAGATGCCACGGGCGAGCACGCACACTGACCCAGCGTCACTGTGCAGTGAGAACCCTTGGCAGCTGCTCTTTCGGGGCTCACTTTAGAACACATCCTCACAGGTACCTGCATCTTTCTCTTCTGGGGCTGGGGATGGAACCCAGGGCCTTCACATTGACAGACATTAGCAGCTTCACCCGCCTGTCCTCTTAGAGACAAGATCACCCTAATCTATCCTGCCAGGCTTAGAATTAGAACCCACTGTGTCCCAGGCAAACCTAGGACTCTCAGCCCTCCTGCCTCAGCCTCCCAAGTCGCTGCGTGTAAAGATGTCTGCTGCTGTGTTGGCTTGCACGGGTGATTTCGTCTTCTCTTTGATGCCTCCTTTCTGTGCTGTGCTAGATGGCTTCTCCCTGAAAATGTGCCAGCTTTGCCCAGTCCAGGCCATGCTGTCCCTGTCTGTTAACCCCTGGGGAGCTGAGCACGCGGTCATCACAATGCTGCTCTTTCTTCTGGGTTGGAGTTGGGGCCTGTTGCGTGTGTGAGGTTTCAGAGGTGCATGTAGCCTGGGCTGTGGGTGGGTGAAGGGGCCCCACTTGCCTGTTCTCCCACCTGTGACCATGCACCCCTCCTCTGTGCATCCCAGGGGAGCCCGGGCCTCCTTGACCAGAGGGGGCACTCAGGGCTGCGGGGCCCACTAAGCAGCTTCGGGGCCTTGGCTGCAGGCCATCAGGAGGTGCACGTCTGGAGTGGGGCCAGGATTCCTGGCTTGGTTGGGCACAGGCAGCCACAGCCCCACCGTGGAACCCAAATGTGGGGCTGAAGATGGGACAGGACTCCCCAGGGCTCAAGACGCCTTCCACACCTCTTCTCAGCAACAAAGGCTCCTGCCCTGGGAGGGCACCGGGCCTGTCAGCTCTGGGACAAGAAAGCTCTCCTGAGCATGGGCACAGGCAGCTCACAGCCATCCTGTGGGGTAGGTGGGCGTGTGCTTGGCTCCTTCCCACAGGATTGGCCCGGAATCTCCCACCCCGGAACTGCTGTCCCCCCAACCCCCACCATGCCCAGGCTGGTTCCCTGCTCCTGGTCACCATGCACCTCTGCGACCAACGGCTCTGGGTAGTGACTTCCCACGTTTTCCCCTTCAGAGCATCTCCGAGCTGTCTCCAGGTAAAAGCTGACCCAGCAGTCTAGGACAGGGGCTCTGCTCAAAGCGCCCGGGGCTGGCAGGGTGTCGCAGCCATGGCTGACCAGGAGCTGAGCCAGCACAGAGGACAAGGAAATCAAGTAATCAAAACCCCAGACAGCCACTCACATGCGGGCAGGGGTGACCGGGACAGGGGCAAGTCGGTCGCCAGGGCATTTGCCAGCACCGGGGACCCTAAGCGCCACTGCACGCACCCCTGGGAAAGAAGTAAGGGGAGCAAACCCCTCGCTGTCCCAGGGCAACAGGTGTGAAAAGAGCGAGCAGGAGGGTTTGCATAACGGAGAAGAGCAGGACCGGGGAAGGTGGAGGAGCGGGGCCGCGGACAGGGCTGCGGCCATAGGGCAGGTTAGTGTGGGTTTCGCGCTGGTCACACTGAAATCAGAGAAACCCGCGATGCAACGTGGAGAAGACAAGGAGCGCCAGAAGCTTAAGGCCTGACGATCCAGGACAAAGGGAAAACTGCGCTATGCAGGTTCGACGCTAGAGGGCGCCATAAGACCGCTCTAAAGTCTCAGCAAGGCTGCAATTCAGACCTGTCGGGAGTTAGCTCCGAACACGGGGCTGCTGGGCCGGCAAAGGTGCAGAGTGAGAGCGAGCATCCAGAGGGTAGACTGACGATTTCACTGTTAAAATATGTGCTGCTAGGGCTGGGGATTTAGCTTAGCGGCATAAGCACCTGCCTTGCAAGCACATGGTTGCTAGTTCAATACGCGGTACTGGTAAAAAAAAAAAATAGGCTATTTGTTATTCATCAAATGAATATTAAATTTAAATATTCATTTAGTGGCCATATTAAGATCAATGCTCAATAACTTAAAAAAATCAACATTTGTGGGAAGCCGCCTGAGATGGCGCCCATTTCCTGCTTCCGGGTTCTTCCCGGCCTGAACAAGCCCGCCAAATTGTCATGTCTGCCCAGTTACCCGTGACGCTAGCCTATCAGCTTGTTAGACGCGCTTCTCTGTGATTGGATACTGCTTCCCCTTATAAGAGGTTGTTCCTGCCCCCAACGGGCGGAAGAGGAACCAACGTTGAGGGTGGCGGACCTTGTTAGGTCCGGTTCGCTGTACGCAATAAAGTTTGAGAGCTGATCCTGCTCGAGTTTGGTCTCCTGTCTCCCGCGGCTCCGGTCATCTGGTGGCCCGTACGGGGAGAAAAAGGTAAAAGACTCAGCGACGTGCCTCTTCGGCCGGGAGGTGCGATTGCTGTCGCCTGCGGTACGACGGAGGACCTGGCCCAATAACAACGGAAGGCCGCGAGCGCCTCTTCTCTTCACCCTGATCAGCTACGTGAGATACAGCGGTTCCCGGGACAGGTGAGTACTGGGTCACCTGGGTTGGGTGGACGCACCTAACAGATTTTGAGCGCCACACGAGTGGACGCTGGGTTTTTTTTTCTTTTCTTTTCCCTTTGCATCTGTTTTGCTTTCGCTTCGCTAATACAGCCCGACAGGCTTTTGATAGAGCTCGATCGGAATGCTCAGAGGAGCCCGGAGCCACTGCCGATTGTGGGTCTCCGGAGGACCCTCAGGGCTCTAATTCTGATTCGGATTCGGAAGGCTCAGAAGAGGAGGTCGTCTTTGCTAAGCATGACCCTCCTACACCGTTAAAAGAGGAACTTAGGGCTCGGGAAGATAAAAAGGGGAACCAAACACCACCCTGCCCGAGCTACTCCGCCTTACGGGAGGAGCTTAAGCCCTTCCGCCCTTTGGCAAGTTCGCGACCCACGATCGCCCCTTTCAGGGCGCCAGGCCCCACTGCACCGCCGTGGCCGGAAGAGGAGTTGCTCCCTGGGCTGCCACCACAACCTATGGCACTGCCCTGGTTAGAGGGAGAGCTACTTCCTGGGTTGCCTTCTGCGCCCCCATCTGGGGAGGGAGGAGGACGTTCCTTCCACCAGAGGGTATGGTCGCGGCTTCCCTTTGAGTGTTCCGGTCTCCATGCATTCCCGGTACAAGTAGGAGGCAGGGGAGGAGGAGGATATTATGAGCCCTTAGAAATTAAACAACTTAAAACTATCAAGGACGCAGTTTCAGCTTATGGGCCCAATGCGCCATTTACCATGGCGCTTTTAGAGGCATTGGCAGGTCTGCTTTTAACTCCTGGAGATTGGACCCAGCTGGCACGCGCCTGCCTCTCCCCCGGACAATATTTAGATTGGAAGTCCTGGAATGAGGAATTCTGTGTAGAGCAGGCGGCAGCCAACAGGGAAAATAACCAGAGAGAGTGGAACAGGGATATGCTATTAGGGCGAGGAGCCTTTGAGGAAGATCAAACTCAATACCCTCGCCAGGTTTATGAACAAATTAGCCGCTGTGGCCTCCAGGCCTGGAGACGGCTAGCTGGAAAGGGAGAACATACGGGTCACCTTACAAAAATTATACAAGGGCAGGGAGAGCCATTTTCAGACTTTGTGGCCCACATGCTTGAGGCCGCTAACAGGATTTTTCCAGATGCTGAGGCGGCTCACCCTCTCATAAAACAATTGATTTTTGAACAGTGCACTAAGGAGTGCCGTGATGTCCTAAGAACTAACAAAAATAGGTCCTTAGAAGAGTGGACACGCCTGTGCCGTGAATTGGGTGGCCACGGCCTAACGCCCAAAGGAAGAATATCATTGGCACTCTTTACCATAAATTTTTTAAACCTTAATCATAATAATCATTCCCCTGCCATGGAGCACAATAACCCGTCCCCGGCCGACAAAGGGCTGGTGAGATGGAAAGATGTCCTTACAGGACAATGGATGGGCCCGGATCCAGTGATTAGCTGGACCCGAGGTGCGGTTTGTGTTTTCCCACAGGAACCAGGTCGCGAACCGCTGTGGGTCCCGGAAAGATTGACGCGAGCAGTAAACTCCCCACCAGTTCCTGATAAAGCACAGGAGGATAAGCCCGCGGACACAAGTCAACTCGACCCTTCTGGGACCGACGCTCAGCGCCCGAGACCATCTACAAACTAAAATGTCTGGTTTGGAGTTTTTTCTATTCTGTGGGTTCCTATTGATCACCCTTCGGAATTGTTCAGTGGGGGCCGCTTGGGGGGCCACGGGATATTGTAATGAACCTCAACCTGATCCCCTTAAACATACTTCCTCCCTCTTCGCGCAGCATCAACTTTGCAATGCGCTGGGTGCTTGCTTAGACCTCCGCCCCTTTATGACACTTAATCAGACACTGAAAAATACATCCTCCGCAGCCAATATGACCCACCCGCTTAACTCCGATGCAAACCCAGCAACAGGTCAAGGTCACGGCTATGACAGCCATGCAAATGGCAGCAGGTGGCCCATCAGGCCAGCAGGCCGCCGCATATCTCCTTCACATTGCAGAACATCAGTTATAAAAGCTGAGTGGGCAAGCCAATGACGGGTAAGACGGGAAAAGCCCTCCCGGTCAACCTAAGACAGGCTCCACTCAGATATATATGGCCTTTAAGGCCAGGGGTCCCTCCTGGAGCCAAATTATTGGCATTGAGATGCGAGACCAAGGGTACTGCAGTGCCATCCGCCCCAAAGGTTGGGGGGAAGGCAGGAATGAATGTCTATATGCATCCAGGTTCGGTTCACAAAAGCCTGGCCCTGCGAAAAAATGAACCACTCACCTTGAGCATGGTCCTGGCGCAAGGATATGCACAAAACAGGGTGATGCACAGCAGGGTATAGACCTCTACATTCTCTCATGCCTCGGCCTACAAGGTAGGCCCACTCCTAGGTGTCTAACAGCAACAAGGTCATAGACACCTTGGAGGGACCCACAGACCATCCTATTTTAATAAATAAAAAAGGGGGAGATGTGGGAAGCCGCCTGAGATGGCGCCCATTTCCTGCTTCCGGGTTCTTCCCGGCCTGAACAAGCCCGCCAAATTGTCATGTCTGCCCAGTTACCCGTGACGCTAGCCTATCAGCTTGTTAGACGCGCTTCTCTGTGATTGGATACTGCTTCCCCTTATAAGAGGTTGTTCCTGCCCCCAACGGGCGGAAGAGGAACCAACGTTGAGGGTGGCGGACCTTGTTAGGTCCGGTTCGCTGTACGCAATAAAGTTTGAGAGCTGATCCTGCTCGAGTTTGGTCTCCTGTCTCCCGCGGCTCCGGTCAAACATTTTAAAAAACTCATTGTAGATTGTGGTTAATAAGGGATGTGCAAATTTTAAAGCCTCTGTGGTAATTCAGAACATATTTTCTAATACTGCACAGAGAATCAATTAGGCATTTATAACAAATAGAATGACAAGACAACACAAGCCCTTCTATTCCCTTTTGTGAATGTCTTTCCAAGTAAGTCCTAGACAAAGTAAAATCAGATGGAAACCAGTGTGTTTAAAATCAGACAGTAAGAAATACATCACCAGTTAATACTCAGAGGAAACTCGCTTTCATAAGTGCTTACATTAGACGTCAGCCAAAGGGTTCACAAAAAAGGGGTTAAAAGCTAAACAGAAAATTAAGCCAAAGAGAGCAGAATGAGGCTAAATGTAAAAGTGGGATGAAATAAACAAGATTGTGCTGTAGAAATACCAGCAGACCTGTGGGGTTGTCTCTGCTGCCAGCTGTGACGCAGGGCCCCCAAGTGCCTCCCTCTGGGTCGGCCCTTCCCGGGGAGGATACAGGTCACCTTGGCCAGTGCAGATGGGACCAGTGGACCCAGGAGACGAAGGCTTGGTGTGTCCTCTCTGTGCACCTGGCCCACTCTGGCCAGCTTGGAGTGAAGATGGTGGCCCTGGGGAAGGAGAAGCCCTTCTGACCAGGGAGCCTGGCTGACCTGTCCACCTGCGTCCCCCTTGCCCACTTCCTCCCAGGGGTTCTGGGCCTCTTCTCAGCTCACTGGCAGATTTACCGTTAGTTTTTAGTCCACAACACTAGAAGAAGTCTACCACGTGTACTGTAGCTCCCGCAGGTAGCGTGGGCCACGGGCACAGATAAAATGCACCAGTGCCTGAGTGGCCAGGGTAGGGGTAACCCTAATGCTACAATTTCTACCTTCACCGAGGTCTGAGGCCTGGACCTGTGACGGATGTGGGCAATGGGAGAGCCTGGCTAGCTGTGAAGCAGCATGTGTGGTGAAACCCAACTTCTCCCCAAGCACAGGAAACGGAGGCCTGCGCCCCTTCCAGCCTTACAGAGCTGAGGTCAGAGTTCAGGAGCAGCCTGGAGAGTTAATGAGCTTAGGGATGGCAGCAGCACGGTGGGAAGTCATGATTGTGTCTCCCCAGCTGTCAATTATCACTCCGAGGAGGAGCCACAGTGGAGATGCATTCTGCTGTACTTTACCTGAAGTTTGCAGACTGGGGTGGGTTTTTCCCAACTTCTCAGACCTATACTCTTGATCTAATTGTCCTTCAGCAGCACTTGCTGGATGTTTGGCCTATTTCTTTCTTTCGGAGGCAGGGTCTCCCTATGTGGCCCAGGCTGGCCTTGAACTCACAGTGATCCTCCTGCCTCAGCCTCCAAGTGCTGGGATTACAGGTGTGCACCACCACGCCGTTTGGCCTCACATTCAAATGTGTCTGAAAACAGCGTATCACTGACCTTCCTGGCAGACTCAGGAACTGGCAAGAAAACTTGGACAATTTCTAGCCACTGCTTCACACTCGGGGGTGGGGAGGGAGAGACACCTGCTTCTGTCAGTCATCTTCCTGTCTCGTGCACTTGAGGGCTTATTTCTCACAACCCAACAGCAGCCTGACAGGGAGCAGGAGCACCTTGTCTGCTGTATTTCACAATCCTGCACACACAGCCTACGCAGGTCCCCCGGCTCTTACTGGTCCCGTTTGTCTTATTGGTATCAGTCATTTTCACACAATTGTTGCAAAAGTCAGAAGCAATGTCTGTAAGATGTCAAGCTGTATCTTGGGGCTGGACACCGGCAGATCTTGGTTTCAGGGGACGCTGGTTCCTCTTTGCCAATAGATGTCCCTGTGTCACAGACTGAGAGACTTTTCTGTGCTTTCCTGGCTTGTATTAAAAAGTTGCATCCACACAGTGGAGGAGACAGAGCTGCTCTGATACCGCCTGACCATGGCCACGATGCCTTGACTGTCACCATGACAAGCTGGGACCCCTGGGTCTTAGGCCTGTGCCCGCTGCCTTTCAGGTCGGCAGAGAGTCTGCTCTTGGGAAAGCAGCTGGATTTTCATGTTCTTCCCACTTCTGACCACACAGGTCAGTCCTCACTGGACATGGGAATCAGAACCTTATTGTGTGATTCACTAAATCAAATTGAAAAATTGATGATGCTGAACTTGTGCCACCCCATGACATCTGTGCTCCTAGACTGACCAACATGAGCCCCAGTCACCTTCTAGCACCCCTCCCCAGTCCCTCACCCTGGTCATGGGTGAGGGTTTCCTGGGTATCTCATCTTACCCCACCTGCTATTTATCACCAGCGGCTCTTGTGGGGACCCCACCATGGAAAAAGAGCCTCTCTCAACAATATCAATAGAGGCCGGGGATTTAGCTCAATGGCATAAGCACCTGCCTTGCAAGCCCGCAATTGTGAGTTTGATCCCTGGTACCACAAAAACAAAAACAAAACAACAATAGCAATAAAAATATGATAAGCAACCAGCCTTTCTCGAGGCTGACTTTGGGCGGGCAAAGGGCTGTGCTATGTACTTTCCATACCTTAGCAGTTCGGCACACACTAATGGATATATTTTGGTTCCCATATTACATACAGAAATTGGAAGTTCAGCGAAGCTGTGGTTCTTAGGGATACTGCGGCCCAGGAGCGAGGGGAAGAAAGGGGAAGAGACCCTCAAGACTGTAAGCTGAGGTTCTCATCCACCCCAGCTTTGTCCTTAGCCACCTCTTTCCTCCATTCCACTCAGCTGGTTGTCCTAGGCTGGTCTTAGGGGTACCGAAAGCAAGACTCGTGGTAAGCACTGCTGTGTTGTTCTCACCAGGCTGAGTCCCAAGAGTAAGTTCACGGGCATCTGGGAAGGTCTTAGAGCCCCTTAGGGACAAAGCAATGCTCTGTCTATTGCTATGTCAGGCCGATGTCTGTTTCCCTCTATAATACCATGTGGGTAAAGTGTATCCCTCATTTCCAATAAATCTCTCTGCTAGAATATTACGTTGGAGGTCCCTTAGTTACTAGATAAAATATTTAAGTGATAATGTTTTGTGAGAAAGCAGATAGAATACATCAGAAACACTCATACTGAATACACCCCTTTGCACACATTTACACACACACACACACACACCACCCCACACATACAAGGAAAGAGCTTAACCAGAGCTGCATCTGGGTGGTGCTATATAGGTGATCAACACCTGATAGCTCCAATATTTTCAAAATAATGTGGTAAACAACTTGCATTGCCAAAAAAAGTATTAACATGAGTTGCTTTCACAGTGTCCAAATAGACTGGGAACCAAATAACAACCCAGCAGACTCAGTACCTTGTGGACAGCCCAGCCTCCCATCACTTCATTTGCCCTCATTTAAATTCTTCCAAGGTGAGAAGTCTTTCATCCCAGCCTCCACTTCATGCTCGGGACCCAACCCTGTGACATCAAAGCTGGTGTCAACCCTGGGTGATCTGCACGCTCTTGTCTGTTGCAATCTGATCCCTTGCTCTGATTTCTGCTTAATCTCTCCAGCATTTACTTGGAGTGAGGAGACGGGGTAAGGTCACTTTGTGTCTAGTCTGGACCCCCGAGTGGCCCATCAATCCTGCCTTTTAGCTGTTCCAATTAGGTTTGATGTTAATTGGCAGAGTCTGCTGTCTTTACCTTTTATGAGGCAGGTGCATGAGACTGGACGCTTCTGATAATTTCTGTGAAATTTGCATTTGAAAGTGACATGGTTATTTGGTTACAAATGAGTACCATCAGTATCTTTGCTCTAATTTTCACCTACCCTGGTAATACCTTGCATGAATCAGAGCTGATAATTAATTATATACAATCGACTCTGCAGCTGACTGGCTTTTGCTTTTCTGTGCTGATTTAGTTCACTCTACCTGTAGTGGCTTCCTTGCAGGAAGATGTTGGAAACTCCCAAGTTGTCATGGTCATGAGAGAATTAAAAAATCACCAAAGGGTATTTGTTTCATGTTCTTTTCCACATACAATGGTTTCTGCTTGAAATGCAGTTGTCATTTTAGTAGTGTACACATCATCTTTCCAAAATTTAGAATTTTAAAAACTGATTTTTAAAATTAAATACAGATATACACATACATGTATATGTGTAAATGTGCATATATAAAAAATGTTCACCCAGAAAATGCTATCAAAACTGAAGACAAAATCTCACAGCTCCCAATATTAAAACTAGACTTTAAAAGCACACATAAAATATTTATCTACTCTTTGAAACAGCACTTTTTGAAGAGACATGATAGAAGGAAGAAAGGTACTCTAACCTTTTAAAGAAAATTGCTTCCTTACGGTACTTAGAAGAATGACAGGTCTATACTTTAAAAAAAAACAAAATTATGAAAATTGTCTCTATTTCTGAGACAGCCTAAAATTAAGAAGGCTTTGAAATCCTTTCCAACAGTTCTTTTAAAATTCTTTTATGAGAAAGCCCTAATTTTTATTTAAAGTAAAACAGCATTATTCAACACTTTTATCCTATATGCATGCTGTTTAAAAATTAAACCTAAATCAGCCGAAGGTATATATGGCTTTGGTTTCTGAGTCTTGATGCCAAGGGTATCTGAAAATATTACCCTAAGTGCACCCAACGCCTTGGAGAAGAGGAAAGGTTTGGCCTTGAGCTCTCCTTGGACGGTGAGGGCTCAGGCGCCACTCTTTCTGCTCATCCGCAGAGGGAGACCCATGAACCAGGTTCTCCCTGCAAGTCTGGACAGTTTAGGGGTCTCAACCCTCACCCCCCAACGTGGCTTCTACTGGAAGAGGTGTATGAAGATGTGAAACTGGAACACTTCCCGGCATCCCCCTGCGCCAGCACACCCTTGGTGATGTGCACTAATGACTTCCGGGTTGTTTCCCGATGACTTCCGGGAACAAGAGCAGCTAACAAAAACATGGGTCACGGAAGTTCAAATTCCTCCTGGGGAAATAAAGGTAGAAAGAGAT